ATCGGGCGGTTCTTCTCAGACGACTGGGGGAGCTGGTGGAATGAGGACGTGGGGCGACCTCTGATACACGGCCATCAGTTAGCGGAGTACTACCAGGCTATAGGACAGGCGCCATACCGCGTCGAGGACGAGTTTCAGGACGAGGGTTGGGAGCGAGACGACGACGAGGGCGCCTGGGAGCCAGACTGGGTCGACCCAGAAAGTGAGGTTGACGCGGAGGAGATCGACGTTACGGATGCCCATTTCCCCAGGATAGGAGTAGCAGTCCGGGCGTTGGAGGCAGAGGAGCACATTGGGACGAAGGTTGAGTGAGCTTAGCTACTGATATCAGTCGATAGTGGATAGCGGATCGATGGTAGAGCCGGACAGTGGAGTAGAGCTTCAGATCAACGACGCCAGATGGCCTAGACCTCCAGAGACAGTAGCGCCAGGCAGAGTGGCGCTAGATCTGCCGGCCAGAGGGGTTTCCACGGATGCGATAGAGAGTCGATGGTCATCGACGGTGTTGGCCCCAGACGTACATTTGTTGACGTACATCATTGAGACATTCGAGTTGGACAGTCAGGGGTGGCGACGACCTGGCACGACTAGTATAGAGGTAGTGGGCACCATTTATTACTCGCCGGAGGTGCTAGCTACGGTCTATTTTCAGGGCCTCGTACACGATCGTTGGCGAAAGGAGCAGGCCGCGAGGAGGGTCTTACTGGCTAGAGGGGACTCCGAGTGCGGCAAGGTAGAGCGACTGCACGGGGAAGTTTGGAGAGTGACGACGACCTTCAGGATTGGAGGCCATTTCCCATATCCTAGCAGTCGACTGCGAGTGACACTTCCGTGCTTTGTGGCAGAGGAGCTTTGGGGACTTAAGCGTCTGGGTGACATCTACTTTGCGGCTGTTGACTTGGACGCCCTTTGTCGAGGGTACGCTGACAGGGACTGGGTGCTGTATGCGCAGTTTGTAGCAGGGCCGCTTGTAGGCGAGCGAGGGCTCCAGTTGATTGAGTTCCTGCGGGCCATTGTACCTACCGGGAGCCCTGACCTCTATTTTCTGTACCAACCCCTAGCCTTCTGGACGACGCTAGAGAGAGAGGCTCGGAGGCCAACTGATCATTTAGCTAGAGTGGGACAGTTGTTAGCCGAGACTCGTGAGGAGTATTACCAGCAGGTATATCCAGAGGCTGACGATCTTGCGTGGTACGTTAAGGATCGGGATTGGGAGGACTTCAATGACATAGACCCTTGGGGCGACCAGGACGAGGACTGGGGATAAATGGCGCGGTCTGAGGGACAAGAGCAGGTAGGTGGAGAGGCGCTGCAGGAGGACGGATGGGGCCATCTCCTTCAGGCCGAGGGGCAGGAGGTCATCCCATGGGCGCAGAGGGTAGATGAGGATACAGACGAGGATATGCCAGATGCATGGGACGACTAGAGTCAGGACAAATCCGACTGAGGTTTAGAGAAGGGAGTAGTGGAGAGTATGGCAGACTGGGATATACTGAGGGTGACTCTTTCCCTACGACGAGATAGGACGGGCAGCTGGGAAGGAGAGGCGTTAGACATTGTTGAGTGACAGATCAGACTTATGACCGAACATGCCCTGGAAATACGGAGGAGCCAGAGGTGCGTCGAGTTTACTATCTACTTCCATGGAGCAGACGAGAGAGCACACAGCACCTACTCGACCATACTGGACCTGAGAGGGAGAGTTGACTGAGGAGTAAGCAATGTCGAGACATAGGGTGCGTCGGAGGGAGTAGAGTGATGCTGATCGAGAGTCGTAGGGGAGATGAGGAGTGACTCAGTAGCCTGGTTAGCTTATGTTCTCTCACGAGAGTCCGAATCGTATAGCGTGAGGAAGCTTGTGGGACCCAGAGAGACGGCGGTTGGATATGACATTCCTCTTCTTGTGGCGTTAGAGGGGACAGGGCGTGTTCCGATACGATACCTGGGAACATGGCTCGCAGAGGGACTCTTCCTTTGGACAGTGATACTGAGAGATGAACGACCCGAGAGGATTCATGACCTAGAAGGGGTCGGACATCTGATAGCGGATAGAGCACGCGATTTAGAGGTAGGACTGACGCTCGCAGGGGCAAGCAGGGCTTGGTGGAGAAGCGAGTCGTTGGCCAGAGTGATCGTTAATCAGCAACTGGCGAGACTCTCTGGAGGGAGGACGCGTTGGAGCCGCTTGGTATACGGGAGGGCTTAGCGCCTCGTTTCAGGGAAGTATACTACGCCTTTTGTGTGAGGTGGGGACCTCCCAGGAGAGAGACGCTTGACGACATCATAGACGTTACTTGCTGGGTGGACTGTCTGAGGCCAGTCGATCTGATCAGATACTGCAGGAGACTGTAGAGGAGGCTAGAGCGAGGGTGAGAGGATGAGCTGGAAAGAGATGAGGACTGAGTATGGAAGAGGAGAGTGAGGCAGTCGGAAGAGTGAGATAGCGCATTAAAGAACCACTCTTGAACCAGGTTAAGGGGTTGGGGAACAAGTTAAGGAAGATCTGGTCGTGCCAGGAAGAGGGCAAGTTGCGTAGGGCAGAGCTCGCAACGAGAGAGTTAGAGAGTTTGTTTAGGGAGGAAAGAGAGAAAATCCAGGCATGGAGATCAGACTTTCTAGAGAGAGTAAAAGCTAGGAGCGTATCACGCGAAGGAACTAGGGAGAGGTCTGCAGAGGGCGAGTCGACGGAGGACAAGGTAACGCAGGGTGGTAGCGACAGGACATGAGCGGGACTGCACTACACACGACGGATCGGTACTCATTGCATGTGGTAGGGAGACTGGACGGACCGGTGGAGTTAGTAATCGTAGAGCTCCAGCTCCATACCAGACTGTGCATAGTCGAGGAGGCAGAGTGTGTCTGTTGTGCGCTACGTGAGGCTAGGGGGACAGCACTTTGGATTGGAATAGAACGAGGATGGAGGATAAAATACGTACTCCGAGTGATACCTTTCGAAGGGCAGTCTCGGATAAGGGCATGGTACGAAACGACCAGAGAGGCTGAGAGGTTGAAGATAAGCGAAGCCAGAAAAGCTAAAGAGGTAGGAAGAGTTGTAACAGACGGTGCAATACTCAGGGTGCTAGCCGCTCGTGATCGGTACTGGAGGGAAACGATAGAGACTTTAGAGGCCATAGAGGATAGAGGAGATGAGGAGGATTTTGAGACATTCTATGACATTTTGGAGCCGTCGGCGAGGAGGTTACGAGTGGTTATAGCACTGACTTACCTCAAGTGCTAGACAGATGACCTCATAGCCGTTTGGGGGTTAAAGGAGGAGAAATAGAGGTTGGAAGCTCTTGGAAAGAAAGTGGAGGTTAGAAAGGTCGGCGAGCGACTTTGGATGGCAGTAGGAGAAAGCTTCCACCTTTAGCAGGCTACCCGGTTTAGGACGGGCTAGGAGACCTAGCAAGGAGGACGGAGATAGACGCACAGAGACTCTTGAGGGGTGCTGATCACAAGACATTGGTTAGGCTTGGGACCGCGATCTGCCGCAAGAGTAGAGACCCTGTCACGGGTGTATTGCAGATCCGGAGAGGCGCGACCTTGTTGGCCGATCCCGAAGGAGAGGTTTACCTAGACACAGAAATTCTTGGGATAGAGGGGGAGAGCACGAGATCCGCAACCAGTGCGGAGTACTGGAGGTGGTAATCAGGGCAGTCGAGAGCTAGGATTGGAAAACGAGCGTGAACCGTGACAAGAAAACTGGTCCGGGCGGCCACAACTGTCATAGGTCTGGGTTGTAACACCCGGTGAGAGTGCCTAACTACGTCTCCTAGTGGCCTATGAAACTAGACACGATGGGGCCACAACCGACCACGACCGAGACTGGAGAGGAGTACAGGACATCGGCCGACCGAGCGCTGAGGGATCTGAAGGAACGAATTAGGCGGGACGCACCGCTGAGATGGGTTGACCAAACCAATGACGAAGAGCCCGACGTAATGGGCGAGCCGGTCGTGACAGAGCCACAGGAGGCTCTGAAGACAGGAACCTTGAGCGACCGGCGAAAAGCGACGAGACGACGCTCCCCCGAGTATGAGCAGAGGGACGACTGGAGAGAGAGTTCGAGGGATTTTTATTGGAGGGACAAAGAAAGGGATAGAGCGCCGCCCAGGCGAGTCATAGACCCCTAGACCAGGGAGTCACATCCGCTCCCTTGTGAGAGCAAGGATCGCTATATTATTACGCACAAGGCCTCGGAGCCTCCTACTTTCAGGGGTTATGGCATCACATAATATCTAGAAAAGTGGGAACTTCACGCCAGCCGGAGTCAGTGGTCGGAGGAAGAGATTATAGCCTATTTAATGCAGATCCAAGTCTCGGCAAAATGGACTACGTACAAAAACAACCTCGTAGAGCTTTACAAAATGGAGGATAACAAGTACTCTATCAAGATGAAGATGAGAGCGTACGGGCATTTGGGATGCGTTTCCAGAAGATCTCCGACGTGCTGATGAAGAAGGGGAAGATCTCGGAGGTCGAGCGTTGTACTATCTTCATCGGACACCTGTCCGAAGGTAGACAAAAGAGTATACTGAGAGATCTTCCGCGGGACAAGCTTGACTTCCCAAAGGTCCTAAACCTCGCGATAAAGACAGAGGCAGACAAGTACAAGGACTTGGTGTGGAGAGGGATGAGAAGACGTGACTTCTTTCTCTACGAGGAGTATGCCACTGATTGATGTCCTGCTTTCAAGGACTATCCCTGGTCAGAAAAGAATGAAGTTGTGGCCGATGAAGTGAAGGAAATAAAGGATATGGTAAAGGGATTGACAAGACAGGTTACAGACATTGTGACCACCACCGGAGCCACGGCATATCGGGACAAGCCCGGATGGCCCTCTTCACTTCGCTGGGACCGGAGGAACACTGATTCCTGGAGGAGTGTCGAGGATCGAATTCCCCGAACGCTGACTGATTATCGTGCGAGGGAAAGGGAGAGAGACGATGAACCATGGCGGCGTAGGGATGATGAGATAGACCGGGATCGCAGGACTCGCGAGACGTATGGGCGTGCTAGGAGATTGGATGACTACTCACGTAGCCCTCGCTATGAGCCTGACGGGGGTAGAGGCGACTCTCGTGGCCGGTGGGAGTCGGATCAGGGCCGGTGAGACGGATACAGAGATGGCAGATATGCGAGATCGGACCGAGATGGACATAGGGACGACAAATATGAGAGATCTGACCGAGATGGATATAGAGATGACATATATGAGAGGACGGATCGAGACGGATACAGGGGCGGCAGATATGAGAGAGGGGATCGACCCGATGATTCACGCGGGGGATACGACCGAGGAGACCGGCGTGATGATTCACGCGGGCGGTATGACCGAGGAGACCGACGAGATGATTTACGGGGGTGGTACGACCGAGGAGACCGACGTGATGATTCAGGCGGGCGATACGATTGAGGAGACCGACGTGACGATTCACGCGGGCGATACGAACACGGAGACCGCCGCAATGATTCGCGCGGCAGGAATGAGAGAGGGGGATATGACGCTTCTGCAGAACCGTATCCGAAGTCCCCTAACCCAGAGCAGCGAAAGGTTCGACCTCCAGAGGCGCAAACGACAGGTCGCCCACTCCCAGGAACTCTTGCGTCTACTGTAGAGGAGATGATCATATCAAGAGAGATTGCCCGGACCTCCAACGGGCAATAGATGAGGGACTTGTCGTGCTTGATGACCGCAAGTACATCAAGTGGGCAGATAATCTGGGAGATGTATCGATGTTCCCTTCGATGAAGGAGAACGTCGAAGCAAGGAGAGTAAAGCCGAGTAGAGGAAAGGAGCCGGTCAGGAGCCAGAGCATCAAGATAACTTTTGAGGGGGATATGGCGACCACACCCATAAGGGTGGCAGCCACCAAGTCGGTGAGAGGGTCTACATCGAAGAAGACTGACACGGATTACGTGATGGCGGAGAAGGACGGGCAACGAATCGATGGAGAGGAGGTTATTCTTTCGCCGCGAAAACGGGGAGTGAAGAAGTTCTTGATGAAGAGTTCGTTGGACGAGATTGACACAGTCGAGCCACTGAGACGGGCCCTTCGGCAGCCCATGCAGTGCTGTATTCTCGAGTACCTAGCGGCATCGAAGCCGGCTCGCGATGAGTTACAGATAATCATGCGGAAGACTCGCATACCTCTATCGGAGGAGGCTTAGGGGGCCCCTAAGGCGGATGCTCCTGCTGTAGCAGTAACGTAGGTGACTGCTAGAGCGGATCGAGTGCCGACAGTCCTTCTAGATGGGATGGAAGGTGTGCCTCCAAACAAGTTTTACATACTTGGTAGTGGGGCCGTGGAGACAATCATAAACGATGGAGCGGTACTAGATGCTGTGATCGATAACGGCAGTGAGGCTGTCATTATAGACGAGAATCTGGCAGTACAGGTTGGAATGGGCCTCGATAGACTATACCTATTCGAGATAGAGACGACTGATGGGAGAAAGCAACAGATCACCGAGGTTTGCCACAAGGCAGCCATAGAGGTCCAAGGCGTACGAGTGACCCTGCCGGTCTTTGCAGTCAAGAACTGCAGCTTTGATCTGCTCTTAGGATGAACATGGTTGAGCCACGTGCATGCGGTGACGATAGAGCGACCGGATGGGAGCCAAACATTGTTCATTAAGAAGCTAGATGGGACGCAGGTTATGATTGAGACAGTGGAGCTTCGCGACCCGAGGAACAGAGCAGCTCTCGCTGTGGGTGCAAGACCCAGTGATCAGATTAAGTCATTACCTATCTCCGACCGCGCGGTGCGATTTCGCGAGAAGAAGTACGGACCCCTGCTCACAGAGGAAGAAGGTCGGATCGTGAAGGTGGAAGATTTAGGGAGTCGGCTGATTATGGACGACAACTCGTACCCAAAGGAGACAGATGAGGAATTTGGCGGGGTGGTGTCTTTGTTTTTTTTAAGGGCACGGCCCCCTATGGGGGGCTACCCAAGCGACACAAACGAGTAGCACAAAAAGTTAAGCCAACGGTGGTGGGCCGCGAGCGATCTGCACAGGAAGGGATATCCGGAGAAGATATCGCAAAAGAAATCAAAGAAAAAAAGAAAAAGGAGCCGCAACGCCTAACGGAAGAGAGGATAGCAGCGATGGAAGTCGGGGATGGAAATCTGACGCCACAGGAGCGAGAACGTGTGATAGAAATCTTGAAGACATGTGATAAGGCAATAGCCTTCAGCGACGCAGAGCGCGGTATGGTTGACCCTCGATACGCTAAGCCAGCAAGGATTTACACGATTCCACATGTTCCTTGGAATGATGCAGGATGGAAATACGCCCAGAAGGAGAAGGAAGAAGTTATCGCTTTCCTGAAAGAAAAAATGGTCTTCCATGTTGCGGAGCCGTCTCATAGCGCCTATGCTAATCGATGGTTCTTCCTACGGAAGCCGAATTGCAAGATCCGATGGATCCAGGACCTTCAGAAGGTCAACGTGGTGACGATACGAGACGTGGGCTCCGTGCCACACGCCGACTTACTGGCCGAAGGCAGGCCGATTTATTCGGTCTGTGATTTATTCTCAGGCTATGATGAGGTACCGCTTGATCCTAGGGACAGACACCTCACGGCTATGCACACGTCATAGGGACTAATACAGATGATGGTTGTCCCTATGGGTTGAACTAATGGGGTAACCATTTTTCAGAGATCCATGGTAGCCGTCCTCAAGGACTTCATCCGTGATAAGTTTGAAGTTTTTTTGGATGACTTTCCTATAAAAGGGTCAGTAAACAAGGATGAGACAGAGGTTGTACCATGAGTTAGAAGATTCGTCGAGCAGCACCTAACAGATATTTGTGAGGTACTTGAGCAGCTGGACGATGCAAATTTAACGGTCAGCGGAACAAAGAGCCGATGGGCCATCTCGAGTATTAAGATCTTGGGCTTTATCTGTGACTCGAGAGGACGCCGAGCAGATCCGGCGAAATTAGACAAACTCCTGAACTGGCCGACACCGTTACATAGTCCAACCGAGGTCCGACAGTTTCAGGGAGTGGTCGGTTACTGGCGTATATTCATACGGGGATATGCGGAGAAGGCTGAGCCATTGAGGTTACTCCTTCGAAAGACTGAAAAATTCTACTGGAATTCCTCGCAGGAACTCACTATGCAAGAGCTTAAAGACGAATTTAAGGAGGGAGGACGCGTACAGGGCGTGCCATTCTTTGACGATGAGACCGAGAGACCCTTCATAGTATCCACGGATGCTGGACCTTGTTCAGTTGGAGGGCCGCTGTCTCAGAAAGACACTGAAGGAAAGGAAAGGCCGTTAAGATTTGAGAGTAGGACACTTAATACGGCAGAGCGAAACTACAGTCAATTCAAGAACGAAGTGTTAGCTGTTCTGCGGTATCTAGAGACGTTCAGACATTATATCTACGGACGGCGGTTCATCCTGAGAGAAGATCCCACAGCAGTTGCCTCGGTCCTCCAGAAGGGCTTTAGCCTGACAGACCCGACCATTGCACGATGGTTAATACGGATTCGGCTATATAATTACATAGTAGAGAGGTTATCTGACACTAAAAATGCCGTAACAGATGGGCTCTCTCGGATCTCTCTTGAGGGCGAGCGCCCGATAGTAGCTGGAGCCCTGACAATGGTGGAGCCGAGACGCGCCGCGCGATTTGTAGTTAACCTTTACGAGGGCAAATACCGAACGATCGGGCTACATTTGTCAGGGGAGGAGAGTCAAGAATCAGATATCCGGAGACATGCGGCGTAGTACTGCCTTAGAGACGGCCATCTATTTCGAAGGCCGGTCGGCTCGGGGATGCCCTTACGAATAGTCTGTGACCCTGAGGAGAGACAGACGATAGTTGCGGAGCTTCACGATGGGGTAGTCGGAGGACATAGAGGAGTAAAAGGGACCTACGAAAAGGTACGCAGGCTGTACTGGTGGGAAGGACAGTATAAGGATGTCGAGAGATACTGTATGACTTGCGAAGAGTACCAGAAGAGAGCTCTTATCAAATACAAGGAGCCACTACATCCATCCTATCCGACCAGGCAAGGAGAGAAGGTGCACATCGATCTGGTGAAAATGCCGAAGGGGGTAGGCAATATGAACTACGTAGTGAACATACGAGACGATTTCACTGGGTTCGTGGACGGTAGACCTATCAGGAGTAAGGCGGTAAAGGAAGTGAAGAACTTCGTCCTGGAGTACATATCTAGGTATGGTTGTGTTGGCAAGATAGTGATGGACAGAGGGGCAGAATTTCTGGTTGACGAGGTTCAGAGCGTGTTCAAGAGAGTCGGGGCAAGAGTTTCAATAACCACCGCCTACCACCCACAATCGAACTCTCCAGTAGAGAGGGGACATCAGACCCTAATAGCGTCACTATCCAAGTGGTGCCAAGGTAAGGACAGAGATTGGCCGCGATATTTTCGGTACGCTGTATGGCCGGACAACGTCACGGTCCGGGCTAGCACTGGATACCCACCATACACCTTATGGTTGGGACGCCATTGTCCTCTCCCCATAGAGTTTCACGTCGACAGCTGGACACCCGTCGACTGGGCGGAGAGGATGTCTAGAGAAGAACTCATAGCTGCCAGAACAAGACAGATAGCCTACGGTTTGGAAGATAACCTYATGACAGCGGCAGATCGTCTGGCAGCGGAAAGGGACAAAAACAGCCATTTCGTCAAAACAGACATATTATATTTTTTGAACGAAATCAAAAGTGACTTTTTTTGCCAAAATCCGGTCGGAATTTTTTGCTCATGGGGGTCCGGCGTTCCCAAAACGTCGGACCCCCCTGGTCCTGTCTCTTATACACATCTAGATGTGTATAAGAGACAGACCATAGACCGGGGGGTCCGGCGTTTTGGGAACGCCGAACCCCCATGAGCAAAAAATCCGACCGGATTTTGGCAAAAAAAGTCAGTTTTGATTTCGTTCAAAAAATAAAATATGTCCGTTTTGACAAAATGGCTGTTCAAAGGTAAAGAGAGATGGGATAAGAACGTGCGAATCAGGAAAAAGAGGGTGAGCATAGGGGATATAGTCCTTCTCTACGACGCAGCACTAGAGAGGACCTGGACCGGAAAACTCGCCAACAGATGGATGGGACCTTACAGAGTGGCTGAGGCACTCGACTGGGGTGCATATATGATAGCAGAATTAGACGGATCCAAGTGGAAGGACCCAGTGGCGGGTGCTAGGTTAAAGTTGTTTAGACCCAGGCCCACACCCATCTTATTGCTGACAAGCCCAAAAGGGAAAGGAAAAGCCAGAATGGAGGATGGAGCCCCCTTGAGGCGATTGGAGGCAAGGGAGAGTTCCAAGAAGACGAAAAGAATAGAGAAAAAAAAGGTCAAAGGGTTAGCTTTAGGAAGAGAGAAAAAATGGTTATTCGTGCTCAAGAGGGCTAGACGGAGAGTTCTCGTTAGACGAACTGGCGAGTCGGCACCCTTCTCGGGGCAAGGACAGAAGAAAAAAAGGATCGTGCCGAGGCAAAAAACCAGAAGAAACAGGAAACTCAAGAAGCATCTCCTTAGCCCATAACTCATAACAAACTGAAACATAAGACAATTGAACGCCGACGTGGGCGTCCTTTACGGGTCATCACCCTGAAGCTCGTCCGCTTTGTCTGACACAAGTGGTTAGGGCTCGACGGGGGCGTCGAGAAGTGGTCCGGGCTAAATGTCAGGCGGCCACAAGCAGTGCGCGGCCTGAAATTTGCGGCTTTGGGACTTAGGCTCAAAGACAAATCCGTATTTTGACGGTGCTCCAGGTGGACCAGGCCACAAAAATTAGGGGAGCTCAGGGCAGCCTTGACTTTGGGCACACTGGACCTTACAAGTAGCTCTCAAAGATAGCGAGATGGGTGGCCGCACACGACACATCTAGGGACCGTTATTTCCGGCCGTACCGAGGCTAGACTTGGGATGGCCTGCCGCGGAGAGGCATCGCGGGAACTGACCTCGCCGCAATGTTTTGGCGGCATACGACCAGGGTCAAAATGAGGCTTCGAATTTTTGTCTATTTTAGTGCCATAATTATTTTTTTTTCACGGCATTTAAATTTTGGGGAAAGCACTTTCTTATTTGACGTTTTCAGTAATTGAAAAAAAAAAAAAAAAAAAAAAAAAAAAACCTAAAGATAATAAAGGAAAAGAGAAACAAAAAATTTCGATTATTCACTTAAAAACCCCTCGGATATTAAATTTTGTGAACTTACGATTATTTCGCTAATTCGAACA